AAATGTCGTGCATCAAGGGAATATAGCCTGCTACGGCTGTAGTTTTATTGGAATCCTCTCTTCTCATATCCGCCCGTTACTCACTATTACGATACACCTGCAGATACAGGCTTTGACATTGTGTTTAAAGGCAAGTCCCTGGATTAGCTGCGACAAGGAACGAAGTGGGTTGTTGTGGAGTCGTTCACAGCGATACATGCCGACACCGCCCATTCCGCGATTATATGCGCTTATCTTAAGGCATGCCATTTTGACCCAGTTGCACATCCCCACCACAGATTGAAGTAGAGATCGACGTGCTCCTCCCGTGTGTTTTGTCGTATCGCACTGTTCCCGTCGTATCACTGACAGCTACTGAGGTAGGCCTTAATTTCAGCATTTCCAGAGATTTCTCTTGCTTTCCCTTCCCACTTTCAGCTCCTCCCACAGTTCAGTCCATCATTACGAGGCGCTTTTTACACAGTTTTGTCCCGGCGCTTGCCTTTAACGCAGCTTGTCGAACCATTAATTCCTTATTGCATTCTACTTCACTGACAATGATCATTGGCGTTCGCATATACTTCTCAGGCTGCACACTCTCTCAGGTCATGATCGTTATAGGGCCGCCATTATGGACTTGTGGTTTATCCGTCATCTCCTAGACCCGCACTAGTCTGTCGAGGACCTGGGTTTTGCTGAGCGTGTTGGAGAGAATGTGAACGCTATTGCAAGATACTAGGAGGGAGGGGGCTATTAGGGAAGCCTAGAAGGTGCAGTAACCTGAGGAGAAATGAGAATCGCTCACGCACTCCAGCTTCTCCTCCCTTCGCCTAAGCTTGATCCCGTTTTTAAAGAATGGAGATGTTTTACGTGGCTTCTGATGCGTTCAACAATGCCCCCGTATCTTGCGATTGCGCCAGAATTGTGTTTCTGTTGCGATTTATCAAAATCTGATATCGAATGAGAAATTCTGCAGTGTTACGTGATTGCAAGATGTTTGGAAATGCAGACATCATTTGAAGATGACATTGTTTTCATTCAAACCAAAGATACCTTCATATCCCCTATTTTTCATTGTAGATCCTCTGAAAGTCTTGATCTGTATGTTAGGCTTCAGTCGGCGTAAACTGTTTCAAGCTATGAGAGGGGAAGCTGCGGCTAGAGGCGGATTTTTAATTTCTTCAGGATCAGAACTCGACGGCTCAAACTAGGCTCTCCATCCATCAAAGGTCGACTTAAAGCTAGGATCTTTCGATGGGAGACAAGTTTTTAACTCAAATCGACCGATCGCGCGCAACATTGCATTAACCTGATACGCATTCAAATATTTACTCGATGTTGAAGAACGCAGAGTACATGGCGCATCACGAACGGATTCAAGTCAAGCAACTAATTGCTTTATGGCGTCTGATCTTGTGCTATTCATAAATTGAACGGCGCTATCGCAAGATACGGGGGCACGGTAGTGGCAACGCATTTAAAACCACGTAAAACATCTCTTTTCAGTCAAAAATGGGACCAAGCCCAAGGCGGAGGAGGAGAGCAACCAGGGTGCGTGGGCGATTTTCATTTTTCCATCAAGTTCCTGCCCCTCCTTAGCTTAGTCCTAGTGAATACTCCCACATATTGTTATAGCGCGTAAATTAACTATTTCCATACTTTTGAAAAATGGAAATGAATACAGAACTGGATAGTTAAACTGT